AGAATGAACACACCCAAACATTCTCCAGGCCAAAAAAAAAAGAAAAAAATCAATCGTACATTTAAAAACCTGTAAAATATTCAAAAGGAAGATCATAATTTTCTAAATTCAATTAAGTAGTAATAGAAAAGGTTGAAGTCTTCAGGAGTTTTGAGATAACTGATGACCAGGCAAAGCTTTCTTCTTCTGCTAGCCTCTAGGCATAGTCCATGCTAAGTAAGAAGCTTTTCTTTCAACCTGGTAATGGGAAACATCCATCACCTCTGTCTCTGAGTCCAGCCTTAAACCCTTCCTCAAGTGGAGAACATTATTAAACGTTTAAAGAAAACTGAAGTCACGGAATGACATTTCCCCCGCTTATGATAGCATAGATTAATCAATGAAGACAATTTGTACATTATCTTTGGAATGTGAATATAGAACAGTTTTAAATATTCCAAATCCTCAGAGCCTACTTAAAAACAGATACTGATAACACTTTCTCCAGGCTGTTTATAAATGACTTTATTTGCAGCAGTGGTCAATATGAAAGTTATTTCACGTGCCTATCACAGAGCATGTGCATGATAAATATTTGTTGTACAAATGAATGCTAAATAAAATAAAAGCAATCAGATCTACTGTGTCGCTTTGGCAGCATTAAAGGCAACATTTGACCAATCACAGAGTAATCTGTTCTTTTGTATTTGTAATTTACCTAATATATATAATCACGTATATGTAGTTTGTATTAAACTATCAATATTTATATTATTCATGCCCTTTAATACAAATTTAATATTTATACTTGTATATATTGATTTAATTTCAGAGTTTATTAAATGTCCTTAATGTATCTCGACAACATTGTGTACATTGTAGGGAATCAATTGTGCTCTTTGAATAAACATTCTGAGAGCTCAGGAGTAATTACAATCATCTCTTTATAGACCTAAAAACACAAAATGTCAAGCACTCTTATTTTATACATTGTAAAACGTCTGTATTGTTCCAGGTCTTTCTTCATTGTATCTCCTCTTTTCCATCTCTTTGCCCCTTAAAATTTTTCACATTTGTTTAACCTGAGCTACTACATTGGGCAAGGGAGGGCATACTGCTCCTTTTTGCTTATTACTGTGAAAATGTGCTTTTTTTCATAGAGAGGTCATGTGAGCCAGCTAATGCATTGGCATGTGAACTAGCTTTTACTGCCAAATGAGTCAGCTGAGATGGGAACATTAATTTATTTGAATGGGTACGAGTTGACAATGCCATAAAAAGATATTGGTACAGCTTAATGGAACAAACTGTCAAGAAAGTGTAGGTTGGGTATGGTGTAATTCGGCAAGCATCTGAATGTTTCCATGTTCACAAGTATCTGCCTTTCCTGATCTGAAATGTTGTCTCTTGTCTCTTGGATTCCTCCACTAAAATGGAAATACCTCTAGAGAAATGACACGTAAAATTATTATCAGGTGTTAATATTAGATTGAAATTGCTGATATTCAAACATTTTGACCTACACAAGTAGTAGTTTTATTTGATTCAACATCATACCTTCATAGGGATAGTTTATCAGATTGCCTTGTTATTTTGTTTTAATTAATTTATTTATTTTTGGCTGCAATGGGTCTTCGTTGCTGCACGCAGGCTTTCTCTAGTTGTGGTGAGTGGGGGCTACTCTTGGTTGTGGTGCACAGGCTTCTCATTTCGGTGGCTTCTCTTGTTGTGGAGCACAAGCTCTAGGTGCCTGGACTTCAGTAGCTGTGGCTCGCAGGCTCTAGAGTGCAGGCTCAGTAGTTGTGGTGCACGGGCTTAGTTGCTCCGTGGCATGTGGGGTCTTCCCGGACCAGGGCTCGAACCTGTGTCCCCTGCATTGGCAGGTGGATTCTTAACTACTGTGCCACCAGAGAAGTCCCCATCAAGCACTATTTTCTATGATTCTGTCATCTATAGAAAGTTGCACAGATGAGCAACAGTTGGAGAAGCCTTTGTAAAGAGTAAGCTCTCCCAGGCACGCATACCTATAGCAAGGACCAGAGAAGTGCCCCAGCGATACAACCATGGGGGAGCCAGTGACAGATTTGGAATAAAACCTGAAAGTCTTATCAATTTTTGATTCCCATTAATTAACAATCTTTGGAGGCACATGGGTAGTTGAGGACAGCATGGAAGCTAGTCTAGAAAGCTGAAGTTTTACATAGCAGTAGGTAGTCTTATTTTTTCTTTGCTTCAGTTCCATACAAATAAAATGGAGATAAAAACATTTGAGGCCACATGAGATAAGCTACACTGGGAATATACATATTTTACGTGTCCAGCACTCTACTTTTCTGGGAACTGGCGCTATTCCCCTCTATCTACGTGGTTTCTGCTGGAGCTGCCATGTTTATTCATTCCTTTATTCAACTACTATTTATTGAGTGCTATATCTGACACTATTCCAGGTCCTGGAGATATAGCAGCGACTAAAGCATACAAAAGTTCCTCACAGAGCTTACATTCTGATGGAGGAAATAAGACATTAAGCAAAATAAGTAAATATTTGGTATGTCACATGAAACACGCTATGGAGAAAAATCAAGCAGGAAAATAATCAAGGAAAGTGCTGTGGTTGAGGAATGAAATTAGTGAAGTGCTATGTTCATTAGGTGGCCAGGAGTGGCTTCATCCAGGATATTTTTGGAATTGGATCAAAACAGGATGGTCTAAACCAAGAATGTGGAGTAAGGAGTCAGTAGAAAAAAAGCCTGTTAGAAGCAAAAGAGAAGAATGAAAAAGACACAAGAGAGTAGCATGAAAGGAGAATGTGGGGAGAGAGGGAGAAAAAGAGAGAACTTCCCAGGTTCTGCATAATATTCCAGTACACTTCTGATAAACCCTTTTTAAAAAGAATCCTTCTGATAAATTCTAAGCTGATATGAATCAGTTTCGGTCACTCCCAACCAAAGAATCCTAACTCACACATATATTAAGATAACTTACAAATGCAAGGCTTGCCCAATGTGGGAGATGTTGGTTACCTCAGAAAATTAGAACTTGATGCTTCTGATGCCAATAATATAGGTTTGATAGCAGAGTTTAATTAATTTTGCTGTTCCCTAGCATCCAGGAAATAAAATGTACAAGAAATACTTATTTCTTTGTTTTCTATTAATCAGATGAGCTCTGATTCTGCAATGGGCTTGTGGAAAATTCAAATGAAAGCGTTATTTTTTCACCCCTAGTTATGCCCTCCCTCCACTCCCCCCATCGGAGTCACAGCAGAATTAGGGAAGCTTACTGATGTCTGGACAACTGGGAAAAGGCTCTCTAATTTCCAAGTCATCACTGTTCAAGCCTGCTTTAAACTCTCTCTGCCAAGAGGAGAGCACAGAAATCTTACCGAGGCTAATGGACGCTTTGCTCCCTAGGGTGTAGCCATCCCCTCTGAAGCCGAGCCACCTTCCTGGAGAAGGGAAAATCCTGAAGCAGGCTCAGGTATTCACTAATCATGGGACCTGTCAATCTTTTAGTTTCTCTCTCCTGATTCTCAAAACAATTCACTTCTCTTCTGGCCTCCAAGGCATCCTGTGCATAACGTTTTCAGTTAGCTTAGGTTTTTATAATAGACCACAAGAGTAAGTAAACTGCTTCTAGGAATTTCAGCTTTCCACCCTACAAAAACTCTCCCTCCCTTTCTCACTCCTCCACAGATGCTGGGTTTTTTGTTTTTTTTTTCTTTCTTTTTGTGGTATATTATACATCACATAAAATTTTAACCATTTTAAAGTGTACAGTTATGTTGCATTAAGTACATTTACGTTGTTGTGCACCCCATAGATTTCATAAGAGTCCGGTGATCTGACTGAGGCAGAGAAGGGTGGAAATATAGGAAGAAATAATTATTGTATTTAAAACGTTTTTTCGTTTTTCTTGAATGCATGGGGCAAGTTCAAATGGGATCCCATAATTGGTGATTGTGAGTAGCTAAGAGGCATCATTAGGATAATAGATATAAATGTGAAAAAGGATGATGAGGAGAAAGGGTGGCTGTAAGGAAATCTGTAGGAACAATAAAGACAAACTTTATCTGTCTCACAACACTTGTAATACCATTTAATATATCTGATGCAGAAGTAAGATGAAGAATTTTTCTCCACTTTGCCTTGTGCCAGGATCAGAACAGTGTTCCTGAATTTTGTTGGGGAGTGAATAACTTCCAGAGAGGTCTCAAATCTAAAGTAAAGTTTAATTTTATGAACTGCAATAATGCCTAAGCAATGTGTTACTAAAGGATGCAATCCACAGAAGACTTAGTATTAAATATCTTAGAATCCTTAAGAATTACATGTGAGTTGTGGGGTTTGGGGGGTGGAAAGGAGTGCATGAAGGGCATCAAAATAAGCCTACGTGATTTAGCACTGGCTTGACCTAGAGGTTTCTTTCAGGAATTTGAAGAACTCGTATCCATTTATCTGTTCCCAAATATTTAAGTGCCTGCTATGTGTGAGGCACTGGAATACAGCAGTGAACAAGGTAAACATGTTCTTTGCTCTGAGATTACATTCAGGTGTATTTTAATTCTGAACCATGAATCCAAGAGCACAATAAATTGAATAAAGCAGTGCACCACGGGAGCCGTGGTTCTTCACAAGCTGCAGCGGAAGTCAGCATCTTAAGTTTTCTATTCTTGGTTGTTGACTTCTGCTTAATTCTTGAAGGGGGCGGGGGGAGAGATGTGAAGAGATTTCTCGCCGAAAATATACACAGACTTGGTGTTTGGGTTCGGCAACCCCAAATTACACCTGCGGCACCGAACTAACCCCACCTAAGAAGCAGGCAGTATTATACGGGAAAAACTACTCCGTCAGAGCCCTCGTAAGACTCAGCGACTCTCGGCCAGCACGGGAAAGCCATGGACTACAATCCCCACAAGCCCTTGCGATCCCACCCCGCCCGGGCAGCTTCGAAGCAAGGGGAAAGACTGGGGGTTGTTGGGTGCACTCCTTTTTCGTCATTAGCGTGCGACTCCGCGAAACAAAACAGGTCTGGGCTGCAAAAGTATGGCAGCTGCTGAGGCGGCGGTGGTATCGTCGTCATCCTTGAAACCAGCTACAACCCCAGTCCCCGAAAGTGCAGGAATGGCTGCAGCCACGGCCGCCACATCCTCAGCGATGGCTGCAGCCGCGGCGGTTGCGGCCAGGACCGGATCCGAAGCCAGGGTCTCCAAGCCCGCGTTGGCTACTAAGCTGCTGTCCCTGAGCGGCGTGTTCGCCGTGCACAAGCCCAAAGGGCCCACTTCAGCCGAGCTGCTGAATCGGCTGAAGGAGAAGCTTTTGGCAGGTACTGCAGCCGGGTGGGGACCAGGCCGAGGCGAGGCGGTCGCCGTGAGAGCGGAAGCCGCACAGAGCACACTGGGCTTTTCGCGCTCTCGTGGCTCAAGAGATAAGAGGAAGGGAAAGGGAGAACGGCCACAGTGTAAGCTCTGGACAGAAATCTGGGGCATCTCCGGCTTGGACTTGTCCTCACGTGAACTCCTGTAGCCTAGTTGGCAGTTGTCGTTCTCAAGGGAAAAAAAACGAAAAGCAAAACCCACACATCCACATAATAAACCTCTGCTCTTGGGCCTGCAGACGAGTTTTCTACAGTCTGATCCCTCAGAAGCCTTTTGTTTGGCTCACGTAGATAAACTCTACCCAACGGAATCACTGGCTTTCTACACCCCAAAGTTGCATCCCTAAAAATATGATGGAAATGCGGATGTTACTTAGTTAACCAAGACTCAACACAGTGGTTTTCATAGAGTGGGCAAGAGTCCCTTGTACAAATGCAGATTCCTAATCCTTGCCCCCCTCAGAGACTGTGATTCTGAGGATATGGGGGTATTTTTAGGAAACTGCATTTTTAAACTGTTGCTCCGGGTGATTCTGGTGTAAGTAGTTAATGGACCACATTTTGACGAGCACTAAATATAACTTGGTCACTTCTAAGAACACTCTTTTTGTTTGTTTGTTTGTTTCCTCATATACACTGGGAGAATATTAGAAAAGCCTGAAGGATCTCTCAGTTCATCAGTCCAGTAGATCTTTTCAGACAATGGAATCAAGGAACCTTGGATTTTTTTGGATCTTGCAATAAGCCAGACCTGTGCTAACCTGTGGAGAGGTGAGGGTGAAAGACACTGTGTCTTGCTAAGCTCATAGCAGCAATTTCTGCAAACTTTGGTGATAAAACTATTTAACTGGGTTTTCAAGGCCCTCCAGAGTTTGGCCCTGGCTTATTTTTCCATGAAATCAGTACAGGAAATTTCTTCTTTGTTTAGTGTCCCCTGGCAAATGTTACCACCTCCCCCGCCCTTTTTACTGCAAAAGCAAATATTCTGGTAGGAATTTGTTAATTAAAACTGACACAATACAGATTCAAATGTTTATTGGCAAAGGTACATTCCTGAAGATGTTTAATACCTATGTTATATCTGCTTATTCTTTTGTTATACTTTCATTATACTTTGTTACCTGTAAGGATGGGTCATATACGGGATGCTGAAGGAAGGAATTACATCAAGGACAAGCTTTGTGGTGTCATCATGGAGTTGTTTCCTTCATAGAATTGCTTTCATTTGGCCTGATTTGTTAGCTAAGCTAAGGCTTTTTTGATCCTCAAGGTAATGATTATCATTCTTTCTTTCAGACAAGTTTGTGATAGGATTAAAGCCATATCCTGGCCTTCTGGTTAATCTGCCTATCAAGAACTGAAATTCCTCTTGAAACTTAGTTAAAATTGATTGTTTCAAGGCTATTGCTGGACCATCTTCTGGAAGCCACTCACTCAGAAGTAGACATTCTCATTACTCTCCATTTCTATATTGCTTGTGATTGGCCTATTCTATATTTATGTTAGCCAGACCAGGGCTTCCCAAATGCCATTCTAACTGGCTGGCAGAATTGTCTGGGAAGGTTCTCTTAAAGTTACAGATTCCAGGGCAAGACATTGTAATGCCAGCCAGCTTTGACAACCGCTGATTTAGGCCACAGTCAGTTGTCATGCTCTCTACTAACATTCCTTGCCTTTCCTTACATTGATTCATGTCGTACTAATATCTCTGCTCTTCCGTCTTTTTGAATCCTTCAAGGACTAAAACATATCAGAATTTTATAGCTAGAAAAGGTCTTAATAAATATTCATCCATGAATGGTACCAATGGGGTGAACCAAATTCCAATATAGTAGAGACGGTGTGTCTTCAGACTTGAAAGAAGTAAATTTGGACACAAAGGGAAGACAGTAAATTTTAGGGCCTCCACACTCCCAGGACCATCAAGTTAAAAATACAAAGAGTTCCCCAAAATATTTCTATGAATACAGGACGAGATCCATAATGGGTTGCAAGTGAAAGTGAAGGGTTTGAAGCCTAGGCCTCGCCTCACAGATTTATGTTAAAGCATATGGTCATGTCCTTCCAAGCAGGGTGATGTTGTAATCACAGAGTGACAATAGGACTGTGTTCCAGACTGAGTTCTGACTCAGTAAGATGGTAATTACAACCCAACTTATCCTTTGGGCCATTTAACCTGGCTTCTTCACAGTTACTCTGCCTTCCCTCCTTTCCTGTCTCTGTCCTCTCTTTTCATTTTCTTTTACTCTATTTTCCATCTTCTCTGTGTCAGTGGTAATAAGGAAGGTTTGATGGGTTTGGAGGGGTACAGATCAATAGAGCTCTTCCTGCTGTTCTCTCCTTTCTCATTTGAAGCCTAGTAGCCAATATTCTCTCATTATAATGTTATATGCCATGATGATGAGGATGATGATGATAACAGCATATTGTTATAGTGCTTTGAGTTTCCAAAGCACATTCAGATCGCATTATTTCATTTTATTTTTTTACAATAGGAATATGAGATAGGCCAGGTTGGCTTTTTTTTTTCTTTCTTTTTTAATATCTAAATGCTTTGGAGTATAAGTGGCAACTTAAACTGTTACCCTCTTCCCACATAACCTTTTGTTGAGATTAGCTTCTTTAAGGAATTGAGAGTTTTGATTAGGAGAGGAGGACAGACCTACAGATAGTTTGGGTACTTAGTGTTCTCAGAAGTAACCCTGTATGAGATGTACTCCCAACATTTAGGTAGCTGGAGAGACCAGCAAAGAGCACCAGGGAACAAAAGAGATTTTAGAAATGAAATTGAGGACTTTGAAAACTAGCTGCCTATGTAAAAACCAACTTCTTCTCATCATTCTCTGTCTCCCAGCCCACTGCTACCAGGAATTTACTAGATCTCTGTGGGTTCGTGTGGATATTGACCCACTTTAAAAAACAATTTTTTTTCCCTTGGAAAATGAATTCTAGTTTCTAGACAACTAATTTGGGCATACTATTTCTTTGTAATTTAGGGAGCGTCTGTACATTTTAAAGTCTGTTCTTTGTTAGTAATATCGTCCTAATCTTAACATGTTAAGTTTGTACAGTACTTTCTATTTGTCTTGAGTACTCCATCCACACTGCCTCATCCCGTATTTATGGAGATTCTGCTTCGTTTGTCTCAGTACTTACCTTTTTTTCATCCCAATTACTCTTACAGAAGCTGGAATGCCTTCTCCAGAATGGACCAAGAGGAAAAAGCAGACTTTGAAAATTGGGCATGGAGGGACTCTAGACAGTGCAGCCCGAGGAGTCCTGGGTAAGAGATACGAATGGAAGTTTGATGTAACTGCCACTTACATCAGAAAGAAATATTGATTAAGAACAGATAAAATTAACTAAGGCCATGCCATTTTCAGTCTACTTTGGAATATTTCAGATCTACTGGATTTATAGTGCCATCTTCTCAAGAAGCCCTTGTATCATTTGGCACAAGGTATCGAAGGCTGTTAGAAATAGCTACTTTTATGTCTGGATGGACTTTGAGAAAGGGTTTGTATCTGTGCAGAAAAGAGTTAACACAGCAGGCCTGAAATCACTGTCTTTAGAAAGGCCTGCTTGCATCTGGGGACTTGGATTTGGTTGTGTTCCCACCCTTCCCCATCCAATAAGGATGGGTTTACTGTGCCTTGACTGTTTGTGTGAACAGTGTGGTTTATGCTAAACGCCTGCTTTCTATCTTGGAATCTGGGATTTTGTCCCACCATGCAGGCAGAGGGTGTCTGGGTGACCATTCCTCTCATCCCCTCCAATAAAAACTTTGGGTGCTGAGTTTCTAATGGTCTCCCTTGAGCAGGAACATTGTACACATGTTATTCCTTGTTGGATTGTTGGAGGAAGGAATGTGCTCAAGTGTCCCCCCTTATAAGAGGGAGAGAGAATAAGGAACCTGAGCATGGATTTTCTCCAGTGTCTTTACCCTTAGGATACAGCTGTGTAACCTTAGGATGTCACGGTAGGTAAATCTTAGCCATGGATGAATCTTCCAGGGTGGGATAGTCTTGGGGACTCCTGACAAGGTATATGGCTCTTTGTTCTGCCTATATCGAATCTAACTCTGACATTAGCTCTCTTGAGAAGGCGAACCTTATAGTTCTTCAGAGGCAGTCACTCTGTCTTGGGGACATTAGTTGAATGTCTTATTGCATGTGGAGGAAAGTTGATAGAATTGATTGAGGGGAGAGGAGTGATTTATCCTTTTTTCTTCCATCCTTTTTTTTTTTTTTTGCATCTAGTAGAGGTTCTGAAGTCTTATCTTTATAGACTGCTAAAGTGTGTATCCACAGGACAGGGTATGTTCTTAGAAATTTTTTGTAACTGTATCCACAGTCACAGAAATACATATGTTGGGATTCTCCCTATCTCCCCCTTCCCCACATACTAGAGAAAAACTTTTATGGAACAATCCTTACCTTTTTACATGCCCTGGTGTTTTATATTTTATTGTATTCCATTTTTTTAGAATGTTGATCATAATCCAGTAAATTGATTTCATGCTGCCCTAATGGATTGTGACTCATGCTTTAAAAAATACTGTGCTACATGATCCAATCCATTTTATTAGAGCTAAAATTAGATACAAATAAAAACAAACCTGATCTAAGCTAGCCAAAGGAAATGAATGCTTACTTAGAAGAAAAGGATAAAATTGGTGAATAAAATTGTATTTTTCAAGAAAATTAGAAGCAGTTTATGATTTTGCATTTTCTGAAATTACAGATTTTATTTGATGCATGTTGACAAAAACATCTTTACCTGAGGTTAAAATAGAAAAAAAACACATGGAAATTCATTTTCCTGAATTAGAGAACTTGAATAGGCAAATTCTGTTACCTTAATTACTATTTCTTACCATAACTAATAATAATCATTATTGAGCACTTATTGTATGTGAGGTCAGTCCCATGGTTAGTGGCAAGGTCAGGAGCTGAACCTGGACCTGCTCAGTTTTAAAGTCTCTGTCCTAACCTGGGATGGCAAATACCTGGCACTCCTGCCTTTGTTCCCTGCTCTCCATGTCCGTAGCAGAAATTACCAATCAATCACAGCATTCTTTGCCATTGGTTCTAGAAGTGGCTTCAGGATTCTTATCAGTTCAACTCTTCTAGAGTTGAAGCCTATTTATTATTATAACCTTCTGTTTTCTAAGGCACAGCACCATAAATCCAAGAAGAAAGAGGATAAAATGTGCTGCTGTGATAGGCAGAATAATGGCCCCCCTGAAGATGTCCGTGTCCTAATCTCCAGAACCTATGAGTATGTTAGGTTATGTGACGAGGGGGCATTAAAGTTGCACGTGGAATTAATGTTGTTCATTAGTTGACTTTAAGAGATATCCTGAAATATCCTGGTGGATCCAGCGTAATCAGAAGGGTCTTTAAAAGTGGAAGAGGAGGCAGAAGAGTGTCAAAAAAGATGTGGCAATGGAAGCAGAGTTTGTAGTGATGAGATTGCTGGCCTTGATGAGGAAGGGGGCCATGAACCAAGGAAGATGAACAGCTTCTAGAAGCTGGAAAAGGCAAGAAAACTCCTCTAAGAAGGCTCCAGAGAAAGATTCTCCCCTAGGGCCTCCAGAAAAGAATGCAGTTGTGCTGACACCTTGATTTTTACCATAGTAAAACCCACCTCAGACTCCTGACCCCTAGAACTGTAGGATAATAAGTTTGTTTTGTTTTAAACCACTATGTTGATAATTTACTACAGCAGTAATAGGAAACTAATATACCCATCTATTATAAATTGCTTAAAATGGAAATTGAGTTTTTATACACCATTTTATTTGTTTTTTGTTTTTTTGTGGTACGCGGGCCTCTCACTGTTGTGGCCTCTCCCGTTGCGGAGCACAGGCTCCGGATGCGCAGGCTCAGCGGCCATGGCTCACGGGTCCAGCCGCTCCGCGGCATGTGGGATCTTCCTGGACTGGGGCACGAACCCATGTCCCCTGCATCGGCAGGCGGACTCTCAACCACTGCGCCACTAGGGAAGCCCTATACACCATTTTAGAAGTTATTTTTTAACTTTAGAGGTTAGAAAATTACAGTGAAAAAATTTAGAAAATACAAAGAAAGTTGAAAATAAAACTTATACATTTTCTACCTTCCAGCAATAATCACTGTTAACATTTTTGTTATATTTCTTCCTTTTTGTCCATGCAGAATTTTTAAGTTGAGCTGTTTTACTGTATGTATGTACATTGTATCCTTTTTTTACTTAACATCATAACATAGCATTTTTTTCATGTTAATTAAAAATATTTGTAAACATGATTTTTTCTTTTTTTAGACTTTATTGAGGAATAATTGACCAATATAATTGTGTATGTTTAAAGTGTTGAACTCATATCAAGTATCTTCTCCAACCACAATGGTATGAAACTAGAAATCAATTACAGGAGGAAAAAGATATTAAATAACACACTTCTGAATAATCAGTGGGTCAAGGAAGAAATCAAAAAGTATCTTGAGACAAATGAAATGCAAATACAACATATTAAAATTTATGGGATGCGGCAAAAGCAGTTCTAAGAGGGAAATAAACATTATTTTTAATGGCAATATCATGTGATGTCATATTGATTTAACCATTTCCTTACTTGAGGTCATTGGAGGTTATTACAGTTTTGTTAGTAGGACTGATTTTGTAAGGATCATCTTTATGAATAAAACTTCCTCTTTGTTTTGGATTATTAAGATAGATTCCTGGAAGTGGGAAGATACTGGTCTTTTCAAGTGATTGCAAGGGTCTTGGAGAGTTAGATAAATGGCAGTAGAAACTTCCAACTGCAAAATGCTTTGGAATTACATGTGTAATAGACTTGCCGGCCCTAAAGTGACTCTCATCATAAATAAGTTCAATGATTTGAGAATAGAGTATTAGGACATTTGTAGAGGTTTGGAGACAGTGGCTTTATTTTTTTATAGAGAAACATCTGAGCACAGAAAACTTGGGAGATAGAGTAGTAATTGTGAGACAGTACTTGGAAAATCCTGGTTTTCGTTCATTCTTCTAATTCTTCACACTTTTTCAAACTGTTGTGCTTATGCTTTTCCTCTCAGATAAACTGCTCATCTCTGTCTTCTTTAGTTGTAGAAATCCTACTAACCTTTCCTGATTTGGTTAAAATGCTGTCTCCTACATGTGAATCCTGCCCACTTGCTTTTTTATATTGCCAATGTAAAACTTCACTGTATTCTTTGTTTTTGTTAACTCACTGAGGGCTAAAACAAGGTCTTATTTATTTCTGTACCTATACAACAAAATTTTGAATGGTTGAATGGGAAAAAGCTGAATAAAAATTCTGTCCCATAAACTGTCCCTTGAATGAAAAGCTGCTGGTTGGCTAGGTCTCAACTCCAGTTAATTTTTCTATATACCACTTCTGTATTAGTCTTCGTAAACTTCTGCTTTCACTAATCACCTAACTTCAATGGACCTTGGTTTTCTTGGGTATAAAATGAGAGCGTTAAGCTGGGTAACTCTAAGATGCCTTGTTGTTTCATTCTGGATCACTGAACTAGCAGAGAAATAATCATCAGTCCAGCATTTACACCATGATAGAATCAAACACATCAGCCTGCTCTTAAGACGCCCTGCACTCTGGTTGAGAAACCCACTGTGCTCATCCTTGTATCTGAGAATTTGTCAGTTTGTTCCTTCTTTAGAACATGCTTCTCTCTTGTCTGCATCTTCATATCCTGTACATCCTTTAATCCCTAACTCACACTAAATGTTTGAATGAAGCATTCTCTGGCCTCTGTAGCCATTTAGAGTGCTCCCTCCTTTGACCTCCTACAGCAGTTATTCTCTCTGTGTTCATTTTGACACAATCATATACCGTTGTATTGTTATTTAGAGTTATTCACTCATTAATTCAGGCAACAGGTTTTTGAACACTTGCAGTTTCCCTTATCTGTATTGTATTTTCCCCATGAGATTATAAGCTCTTTCAAAGTCAGGAAATGTGCTGTTCCATTAAAAGTGTTCTTCTTGGCATTGAGTGCATGGTAGCTCCTTGCAAAATATTGATTGGGGATTCTTGAATGGAATAAAATTGAATTGAATCTTTTATTATTGTACAAAGTTTTTGCCTCAGCAGCAGCTGCTGTTATTTGAAGGGTGCTATGCTCAACAGAGGATCCTGAAGGCAGACAGTTTCTATGTTGGTCCTTGAACCAATATGCCTGTCAGAGAAGCTGAGAGGGGTGGGGGTTTGGGATGGACTTGATGAAGGAGTTGGGATGTGAGCTGTGTTGCAAAGGATGGACTTTGAATACTTTACTAAGAAGTTGGTACTGTAGGCATTGGGACCCTATTGAGGATTGTTTGGCGGCTTTGTGCAGTATAGGTTTTCAGAAATGGTATGAATTGGGAGCGGAAGGGATAAGATGTAGAATAGCTAGGTTTACAGTATATAGGCTGCTTTAGGCTGGCGGCAGTGGGAAGAATGCCTAGATGAGTAAGGTGGCAGGGAGGATGAGAGGAAGGGGGTCTGCTGTTAGTCTGGTTTGAACTTTAACTCCACCATTTACTAGTTGTGAGATGCTGGGCAAAGTTCTTAGTCTCTCTATGCCTCAGTTTCCTCACCTATCAAATAGGGATAATTGTATTATCTTTCAGGGTTGTTATAAGGATTAAATGAACTAATGAATGGAAAACATCTAGAGTAGAATTTGATTCATAGTAAACTCAGTGAATCTGCTATAAATATTCAAGATAATTCTTTTAGCTTGCCAATCGTTTCTCCTTGTTGCTTATAATTCTGAATTGTGATGGTTATATTGTGTTCTTTTACAAAATTGTATCCATTAATGAAAAATACTTCAATTCTTACAAAAATTTGCATGCTATTAGGTGAAGAAATGATTATGTCCTCTCATCCTCGGCTGGTGAAATGTGTTGTCATAAGGATAATGTTTGAAATTGAGGAGACGTGAGCGATTGTACTTTGTGTACGGCCTACACGAACATACACTCTCCAGGCTCTCATTTTACCCTGTATTCTTTTTTGTGTTGGGTTGATTTGCGTTTTTATTTTCTTGATTGTATGCTACTGGGCACTAATCATCTTTAAATGGTTCATTAGTTATGATGATGGCTTTTGCTTTGTCAAATATTTTATCATACCAAGATTAATTGTACCATGTATTTTCACTGCTGCCCATATAAAATTCCAGTGAGTCCTTTGAGGTTTTTCCAAAACTTTTTGTTATCTAATTGTCTGGATTGAGGTTTCTGGTATGTTTCACACTTCGGAAAAGGAAAAAAAGTCTCCCACCTGCACTTCAGAATTTCTTACTTGCAGGACAAGTTCAACCGATTGGAGTAATAGGAGCCCTCACATTATGCTAAATAAATGGTTTTCCAACTTTACATTACATATGCCAAGAAATTATGACCAATGTATGTCATAAAACATTTTTAAAACCTAGGTTTACAATAGAGTGTCATGATATTTGTTTCTTTGATTTGTAGTGGTTGGAATTGGAAGGGGAACAAAACTGTTGACCAGTATGTTGTCAGGGTCCAAGGTAAGAATACTGGAATGGTTCTGTTTTTCTTCAATGTTTTCTTAATGACCTATGTGTTGGATTTTATCAATTCAAAAATAAGCTGTATAAATTGCATGAATGTCAACACTGAGTATTAAACACAATGTCTATAATCATGATATCTGAGATTCAAAATATTGAGACTATAAATTAGTGATTTAAAAACAAATTTGACTCATAGAAGCAAAACTTTTGTGATGCCCATAATTTAAACATATATGTATTTAGGTTCTTTTGGGTTTTTTTGTTTTGTATAATCGTATTTCTTAAGTGAAAGGGAACTTACAGATCATAAATTCTACCAGAAGATTGTTTTTTTTTTTTTTGTGGTGCGCAGGCCTCTCACTGCCGTGGCCTCTCCCGTTGCGGAGCATAGGCTCTGGACGCCCAGGCTCAGCGGCCATGGCTCACGGGCCCAGCCACTCCGCGGCATGTGGGATCCTCCCGGACCGGGGCACGAACCCCTGTCCGCTGCATCGGCAGGCGGACTCTCAACCACTGTGCCACCAGGGAAGCCCGACCAGAAGATTTTTTTAAACCTTGGAATTTTTGTAGAAGCAATACCATTTTGTAAACCATGCAATTTCCAACAAAAGATATGCTTTTTTCAATGGTTATAAAATGTTTACTAAATAAAAGAATGGGCCCTCTTTAAGATGATGTTACATCATTCCTTGACTAAATCCGAAAGCATCTTTCGAGGTATTTGCTAGGAGAGGGAGGAGGGGTTAGGAAGAGGCAGGAGAGGCTCTAAACCTGTTGAGTGAGAACCCTCATCGAAATAGCAGGGGAGCCCTAAGACAAGTCTAGATGTCAGCGTTTGACCTCTCCAGGCCTCTCAGTTTTTCCTTAGGAAGAATGGTTTTGATTCTCTCAAGGGTCTCTTCTAGCATTAAAAGAGATAATAATATCTGTATTCTAATTAGCAACTAGGTGCTGGTTATGATAGTTGGGGCCAGGGGCCAGTGAAAATGCCTGTGGAAGGAAGATTAATATGCCACTAGTTAGGGAAGAATTTCAGCAATTTCCTGGACTAAACTTTTTATTTGTTTTAAAACCCTTGCTCCAAGCAGGATATAAATAGTTTGGATAAAGTGGTTTTGTCTAAATTGTTTCTTTAAAAAAAAAAAAAAGTGGTCAAAGACCATTTAAAAAACTTCCCATTTCATTGCAGACTGATTGATGACTTTTATAAAATACAGTTAAACTGTTACGGCAATGTCAAATTGCTAAAGAAGTTTCTAAGCACCTTCATTTTCTGAACTTATCTCATGGTGGATACCGGCCCTTGGGCCATACTCTGAGTGCCAGGGGTCTAAGTAAGCTTTTCTTAAAATAAAAAGCCCTGGAGAGCCTGTTGCCTTTGACATCCCATTTTAGTTATTAACTGGCATAAAAACCTGTGTCTTTCAGTTGGGAAGGATCTTAATACCTTAGATAAATGGAAAAATTTCCATGCAGCTTGCTCTGCAGTCTTCAAAATATTGGTGTTGAAAAATCACAGAGTATAGAAATTGTGTTAGAGTGGAGGAGTTTGACAGTTTTACAGTAAATTTGAACATGGTACTGACCATGGAGTTTAGAATCTGTTTCTGTTACAGGATTTGCCAGTTGCTTGATATATGTTTCTTAATTCTAAAATATAAACAGTGGTTACCTTGATACAGGATTATGGATGATTTTATTTTCTTTTTTCACATTATTTGGTGTTCTCCAAAATCTTTACAATGAAAACTCACTTTTATAATAATAGCAAAAAGATATATTTACATTAAGGGATGTGTTTGTTTTCTTTTTCCTCCCAAGATAAAATACGTGAAGTTCACTGGAATATTCATTATCCAGCCCTCCCCTCCAAAACCACAAGTACATGTAACACACTATATGTTGTTGAAAGGTTTTACATGTAAATTCCAGGCATATTTCCAGAAATATGATGACTGGAAATATAAATACATCATTGGCTCTGGCTTAAGTTTATTTATCACAAACCATTTTGGTATTCAGCTAGGAAAGCTGAATGTCATACAGTGAAATCACCGATCCTCAGATGACTGTAAAGTAAATAGAAGATCCCAGGTGCATCTTATTATAGAGACTTAGTTCTTGGGTGTTTCATGTTTCAAAAATAAGTGTTATTGGGCTTCCCTGGTGGCGCAGTGGTAGAGAGTTCGCCTGCTGATGCAGGGGACACGGGTTCGTGCCCCGCCCCGGGAAGATCCCACATGCCGTGGAGCGGCTGGGCCCGTGAGCCATGGCCGCTGAGCCTGCGCGTCCGGAGCCTGTGCTCCGCAACGGGAGAGGCCACAACAGTGAGAGGCCCGTGTACCGCAAAGTAAGTAAAAAATAAGCGTTATTATCTTGTTAGCTATTTGTGTTTCTTATACTTTTAATTTTAGATTATGTACTTGTTGAAAAATTAAATCTTTTAAATATTACCTTTAAGTATGTTGGACATTACACTTTTATCAAAAGTAGTTAAAAGCTGTTAATGAATTTTTTTTAAATTTATTTATTTTTGGCTGTGTTGGGTCTTCTTTGCTGCGCTTGGGCTTTCTCTCGTTGCGGCGAGCGGGCGCTGCTCTTCGTTCCAGTGTGCGGGCTTCTCACTGCGGTGGCTTCTCTTGTTGCGGAGCACGGGCTCTAGGTGCGCGGGCTTCAGTAGTTACAGCACATGGGCTCAGTAGTTGTGGCTTACGAACTCTAGAGTGCAGGCTCAGTAGTTTTGGCACACGGGCTGAGTTGCTCTGCATGTGGGATCTTCCTGGACCAGGGATCGAACCCGTGCCCCCTGCATTGGCTGGTGGATTCCCAACCACTGTGCCACTAGGGAAGCCCTGTTAATGAATTTTTAAAAATAGATTTTGTTTTTAGCACTGGCTGTAATCTTGGAGATCTTATGCAGTGACTTACAAAAATTTTTTGAGGAAGACCCATAATAAGAATTTCATTTTACACATGACTCTATATATCCATTCATGTATAAGAACCAAAAATTTTATCAAACAACTTTAACCCTATGTACAGTGTACTCTTGATATCTTTCTTTCATTTAAAAAATTGTCTGCAGCCTTCTAATGGGGCACAGACCTGCTGTTTGACCTCATATTTACTTTTTCCACTTTTACAGATGAATTTTTTTTTTTTTTTTTTGCGGTACGCGGGCCTCTCACTGTTGTGGCCTCTCCCGTTGCGGAGCACAGGCTCCGGACACGCAGGCTCAGCGGCCATGGCTCATGGGCCCAGCCGCTCTGCGGCATGTGGGATCTTCCCGGACCGGGGCACGAACCTGTGTCCGCTGCATCGGCAGGCGGACTCTCAACCACTGCGCCACCAGGGAAGCCCTACAGATGAATTTTTATTTGCATCACAGTGCTACTAGAAAAATTAGCCTTTTAGTATGTGTAGAGTGGGGTTACCTCAAGAGTAGAAATACTTAGTTCTAGGATGGCAGATACTCGCTCTTCATGTTATAGCCATATCGTAATACACCGTTGCCTCACCATCCAGTCCTAAGGAGAGACATTGTTGATTGAATGTGACCTAACACTCTTTTCTGCTGAACCAAGAAATATCCTTAGAATCCTATTCAATGTAATAAATACCAGTTCATACAACACTATCAATTAATGGGTGGAGTGCTGACCTTTACCTAAAATCTTTAGGCCATGAGATTAATTTGCCTTCATTTTGTGAAGACCACAGATTATTTAGACCACCCCACTCCTTTCATGCATTCCTTCCCAATCAGATTGGAGTAAGATTTAAGAAAAGAGCCCTTCCTTGTCTTCGTCATTAGCTTTCTCTTTTGTCATATGGTAAGCCTTGCTCTGCCAATGATCAACTTTCTCTTGAGTCATTTTTTTCTCACTGCATTCTCCTTTGGGATTATGAGTGTAGTGTGTGCATAAAGCATATAGGTTTTCTGTACAGTGCCTGTTAAACAAAAGTTGCTCAATAGATACTGTTATTACTATTCTCAAGTGTTTCACTATCCCCAAATCTCTCTCTCCTGAGTTTCAGGCCTCTTGGGTCCCTCTGGCTACATGTTCCATAGACATTAATTTTATTCAAGCAATTTCTGTTGGAAATCTTGAATACAGTTAATTTCATTGCTTTTATTTCTATCTGTGATTTTTGGTGGCCTAGGCAAAAATATGACATTCATTAGAAAGAGAAAGCATGCCAGTTTTTTAATGAAGAGACTTTACTCTGGGCATTATAGTCAGAAAGAAATTTCTTACAGTAAGGAATATTGAGTGACAGATAGTGGATCTCAAAATAGTTTACAACAGGTGAAGAAGTGGATCTGCATGAAATATAACTTTGGTAAAAGGATTCTAAGGGGGTTAGGCTAATACATCCCTTTGACCTAACTTGATCTAATTATGGAATATAGATTACCTAGAAGAAGGCAATAGATGCATAGTCCCTTTACTCTCTTCCCTAAATTATACTTTCTTTGAACCAGTCATTCAGCAGAATCTGGGTGGCAGATGTACTTTGAAGTAACAGACTTTGATGAGGTTTTGGAGTATTATCTTTATTAGCTTTCTATATTGCTGATTAAAAGTTGGTTACTTATATGTGCTTTTGAAACCAGTGAGCGATGGAAGGGTTGATGTTCTATTAGGAAATCATTGATGCCATATAAAGACTCTTAACTAGCATTTTTACAGGTATGTAAGGTATATATATATATATATATATATGCAGAGATAAACCATAATAGTACCTGTAGGCAAAGCCAACATTTCTTCAGAAAGCTGCTTTGTATCCCCCTCCAACCCTTGAACAAGTGTTATCATTGGGATATACAAACTTTTCCCCTGGGATATTTCAGAGGGCAGTAATTTCCCCCAGGTATACAGTAGCATTTTTAGGTTAACCAATGTCAATTCTGAAGTGTGACTTGAATAATGTTCCTCTGAAACTTAGCAACTCTCGGAGATTAGAGCATCTCTAATCTACTTTCTCCAGAGGTAGTCTAATTTGTACCTTTTCTTTACACTCTATTAATATTCATACATTTCATAAGTACTATATTGAAAATTTTGAAGGACTTACATTTATGAACTGTATAGAGCTATTGCTTTTTAATGAAGATATTCAAAACCACATGTTTTCGGTGTGGTAGTGTAATAAGCTTATCATTAATAAACATAATTCTGCAAAGTTACATATTCTTTTCAGTGGGAATTATATTCCTTGCATTTTTCTCACTACTTCATGTGAACCTCCAAATAGAATTTGAATTTGATCAAAAGAGAGGAATACAAAGAATATGTAGTATAAGTGTGGCCTGAGATGGGAAGCAGAACAATCCTCAGTTAACTCAGTGATCTACTTCTTCATTTGTGAAAAATGAGCAGTTCTGAGAAGTGACTTTTATCCTTTTAGAGAGCTTAAGAAGTAGCAATTTCTCTTTATTAAGAAACACATATGTACATTACTTACGCTATACTAGTTTTGCCTTATTTTCTACATATTTAGCTTTTGTTTAAATGCATAAACAAGTTACTAAGATTACTTTTGGTATTTCATGTAAGAAGTAATAAATTGATTAATTAAAAATTAATTTTACTTTTAAGTATGGTAAAATCATTGAATCTTGAGATGACTAGGTAGGGGATTATTGTACCATTCTCTCTACTCATAGGTGTATTTGAAAATTTTCCTTCAAAATCAAAACTGCCCAGTAGAAAACTGGTTTAAAAAATTTTTTTTTACAGTAACAGTATATTTATAAGCCATGATTATCAATAAAATCAGGCTTTTCCTTGTCATGTTGGCTGGTGTGGGAAGTTTGTGAATGTTCCTCAATCTGTACAATACTTCCCACATATCAGAAACTAACAAAGCGGGGCTTCCCTGGTGGCACAGTGGTTAAGAACCCGCCTGCCAACGCAGGAGACACGGGTTCGAGCCCTGGTCCGGGAAGATCCCACATGCCGCGGAGCAACTAAGCCTGTGCACCACAACTGCTGATCCTGCGCTCTAGAGCCCGCGAGCCACAACTACTGAGCCCGTGTGCCACAACTACTGAAGCCCGCCCGCCTAGAGCCCGTGCTCCCAACAAAAGAATCCACCACAATGAGAAGCCCACTCACTGCAACTAGAGAAAAAAGCACGTATGGAGACCCAATGCAGCCAAAAATAAATAAATAAATAAATTTATAAAAAAACTAACAAAGCAATTACAGTCTATTGATTTTTGCCTTTATTTTGTATCAGGTAGTATTAGTAAGGTTCTGTATAAACTTTAAGACATGCATAACAGTTCTTCTTTACCTTATGGCCTATTTCTCTCCCTTGTTTCTCTTCCTCTAGAGGTATATTGCCACTGGTGAACTGGGGAAAGCTACTGACACGCTAGATTCTACAGGGAAAGTAACAGAAGAAAAACCTTACGGTATGAAGTTCATCTTAGGTAGTCCTTGTTTTTAATATTTAGAGAAAGTTTCTCTGAATTCAAAATTTAAAATAAATCTCATATTCCCAGTGATTTTAATTGTCAGTACATTTCTTTGGGTTAAGAAGGTTGGAAAAACATATTTGCTCATTTGGTATGTCTGTTAATAAAGATTTATAATAATTACCTCTTTTCCTATAATCAGTTTTTCTTTAATGTGCAGAATTCTTCCAGATAACTCCCTTGCCAAAAACCATTTATAGCTGGGATTTAGGACATTCTTCCTAATGAATGTGAAACAAAGCAGAGAAACTCTCTTGCTAGATTTTACCTGCATCTTGCCATTGTTGTTGTTTTGTTTTTGTTTTTTATAATTATCTCTTAGCTGTTGAAATAAATGTACTAGGTTTAGTACTTTAAAATTGATCATATTTCTATGCTTTTGGAGTATGTAAAAAGATAAGACAAAAGGAAAGCTGTTTCTCTAGCAGTAAAGCAGAACTCATTGGGGCCCACCTTAATTTTTCTACCATTCCTTCTTGCACTACTTTAAGAAAGGATAGATAAATGGTTTCCTAGCAATTCTCATAGTGCTTATGCTATTTATAATGCAGCAGTTGTGGTTTTTGTACAGTCAGTTCACCCACATTATTGTGTCATCAATTGTGAATTATTTGTAAGCTTCCTGGGTTTCTTTTCTGCCTGGGCTTAATGTTATCTTTTTTTAATGTACCTATAGGCAGTCTAGCATCTGCTTCCCTATGTTTTTGTGTTGAGTGGTCTTAATATATATTACATATTACCCTAGTAGTGAGACCAACCTTCTTGTTCATAATAGCTTCACTTGTCCTGTTAACATTTATATGTGGCTTAGTATCTTGCATGATCAATCAAGCACCAAAATGAAAAGAAAAATCACTGATTTATTTCGAATCTTTTAAAAAATAGATGTTGAATTAGCCTTGAAATTATTATTATTATGGAATAATAGCAGATGCTCACTTAATGGAAACCCAACTGCAGTCTTCAGCCAGAATGCTTTTAAGATTCAGGCGGCCTAGGAGGATGTCAGCGATTTCCAGAGTATCCTACAGTATATGTCAGTACACATATAATTAGAAGAATGGTGAGGAAGTGAAATTGGTGAGACTTGGTTGGATGGGGTAATGACAGAGAGGAGGTTGTTAACCACGACCTAGGTTTCTGGGTTGTAAAACTGGTTACATGATGGTACAGTTCGTTGAGTAGGTGATATTAAAAGAGGACCAGGGTGATGAAACTACTTAAACATACTCTTCCTTCCTGCCCTTAAGCATTTTGGAATTCTTACAAACTCTACTTTGTATTGTATCATTTAAAACCTTATTTACTTACCTGAAAGAAAGCATATTAGTTTGTTAAAATTGTCTCATTATAATCTTGAAAAGCAACTTTCTTTAGGCCCTGAAAGGGAGAGCTCCCTATAGTTTATTGAATAGTATTTGTAGGCCCAGAAAATGAGAGCTCAGAGAATTTTGCTGATTGACATGATTTTTCTGTATGATTTCTGTAAATCAGTAAATGTTTGTCATATGTTTAAGCTGTACAGCAGGGTACCAGGGGGAAGATAAATATAAGACCTACCCTGTTTCCTTAAGGAACTTGTGTCATATAGAGAACTAGGACCTATGTTCTCAACCCTCTATGAACTAATACTAAGACCTATAACTTATATTTTCTAATGGCTTCTTTATTATCCTGAAATAAAAGTCAGATATTCTCCACTACTTACACGTTAAAAAAAAAACAATGTTAATACAGTAAGTGGACTATAAAGAAGAAATAAAGGTAATTTATAGTAAAATAGACATATCATTATGTAAATACACAGATATTACTACATGGAAAGTCTTCATGAAGTAGTCATATATATATTATATATAACAGATACTTATACATAAATCACTGTGAATGCCACAAGTCAAATGCGGACTGACAGGAATGTGGTATTGATGACTCAGTACTGGAAAGTTCAGTATACGTAAGACTGTACAAAAAATTCTGCGTTTAAATGGGAAATGGAGTTATGTTCTAGCCTAAGGTAATTATAAACAGACTTTCACCCACATGAACATCTGGCAGACCTCCAGAAGTCATGAAGGGCATAGGACAGTTCACTGTGCTGTACCACTGCACATTACAGGAAATCCAGCATCCCTGGTCCTTGCCTATTAAGTGCTGCTGATGTCGCCACCCTACCCAATCATTATAACAATCAAAAGTACGGTTCTTAATTAACCTGTTGAGAACTACTGACATCTGGTTAAAGTAAGGCAGTATGCAGTAAATGGCAAGTGAATGATCTTAGGTCATTTTATCCTATCTAGACAAATAATATTTTTAGCCATAGAAAATGAGTCTGTAGCTCAGTAGACGCAACGTTCAAACCATATTAATAGGGCCCTTTCTTTTATTCTCTATCCTGACACCTTCTGTTATTTCTAAACAGTGTTTTTCACCATTTATTAAAAATCAATCTTTGTGCTAATACCAAACTATCTTAATTGCTATAGTTTTAGAATGAGTCTTGTTATCTGAAAGAGCAAGTTTTCCTACCTTTTCTATTTATTTATTTATTTTTGGCTGGGTTGGGTCTTCGTTGCTGCGCGCAGGCTTCCTCTAGTTCGGTGAGCCGGGGCTACTCTTGTTGCGGTGCGCGGGCTCCTCATTGCAGTGGCTTCTCTTATTGTGGATCACAGGCTCTAGGTGCTTGGGCTTCAGTAGTTGTGGGACACGGGCTCAGTAGCTGTGGCTCACGGGCTCTAGAGCGCAGGCTCAATAGTTGTGGCGCATGGGCTTAGTTGCTCTGCAGCATGTGGTATCTTCCCTGTCCAGGGCTCGAACCCGTGTCCCCTGCATTGGCAGGTGGATTCTTAACCACTGCGCCCCAGGGAGGCCCTGCTACCTTACTTTTATAGATTTTCTTTTATAGGTTTTTTTATAGCTTTCTTATCAAAGTAAGGAAATTGTTTTCTATTCCTAATTTGCCATTTGTTTGTTTTTTTAATCATGAGCAGCCATTGAATTTTATCAAATTTTTTTTGTATCTGTTGATTTTCCTCCTTAGTCAAATATTAAACTAACTTTACATTTCCAGAATAATCCCAACCTGATCATAATATGCTATCCTTTACATAAATTGTTGGATTTAGTTTGCTAATATTTAGTTTAGAATTTTTGCATTTTTGTCTATGAGTGAGATTACCCTGTATTTTTCCTTTCTCTTAATGTCCTTGACTGGTTTTGATATCAAGGTTATACCAACCTCATAAAATGGGATGGGGAGTATTCTCTCTCTCTTTTTTTTATTCTCTGGAAGAATTTATGTGAGATTGGCATTATTTCTTTTTCTACTGTTTGGTAGAATTTACTGGTAGACATCTGATTCTGGAGTTTTCTTTATTAGGAAGCCTTTTAATCATGGTTTAGATTCCTTTACTAGCTATCAAACTTAATATTTTTTATTTCTTGTGTCATTCTAGATAATTTTTCCCCTAGGAATTTGTCCATTGCATCTCAAATTTCCAAGTTATTGGTATAAAGTTGTTCATTGTATTCCTTTAAGATTTTTCTTTTTATTTCTATTTATTTATTTATTTTTTATTGTTTTTCTTTTTATTTTGAAATAATATCAAACTTAGAGAAAAGTTGCAAAAATAAAGCCATATTTTTATAGATTTCAATGTACAGATCTTTCACTTCTTTTGTATATGAAATCTCTAAGTACTTCTTTTTTTAACACTATTATAAATTGGATTTTTAAAATATCAATTTCTGATAGTTCATTGCTAGATATACATAGATGGAGATGACTTTTGTGTATTAATCTTATGCCTTTCAGCCTTGCTAAACTCACTTATTAATTCTAGTCGCTTTTGTATAGATTCCTTGTTAGGATGGGTCTAAAGTAGACTTTTTTTTCAGGTCTGCATTAGCCCTACTCCAAAGGCATGGCTTTTCTTGGGTGTCTATCGAGTGCTGGGGTCTTCAGCAAAGTTTCTTCATTCTGAGGGGTTGGAATTTGGACATCTTCCAGCCTTGTAAGAGGTGTGGTAGTAGCTCTTTTTTTAACTTTGTTAAGACTCACTATATATATGCACAGCTTGGAATTTAGCCAGTTTCAAGTGGACCCCTATAGACATCACTTTCTCTGTGTAATGCTCTCAAATTCCAGCTGCTGCCGCTTCCCCAAATTCTGATCTTTGCTCAGAGCTTTGTTTGTTATTCCCCTCCCTGCAGTACAGTTCAGAAAGCACCCCCAAGCAAAAGCAAGTGACTGTGGGCCTTACCTTGTGTTTTTCCTCTTCTCTCAGGGATGATAGTCCTTGCTATGTGTTGTCTAATGTTTGAAAACAATTGTTTGCTGTATTTTTTCCAGTTTAACAGCTGCTTTTGGTGACAAGGCTTGTCCAGTAACCATTTAACTCTATCCTGGGTGAATTTTTTTTTTTAAGTCTTTATTGAATTTGTTTACAGTAACGCTTCTGTTGTTTATGTTCTGGTTTTTTGGTCATGAGGCATGTGGAATCTCAGTTCCCCGACCAGGGATCGAACCCACACCCCCTGCATTGGGAGGCAAAGTCTCAACCACTGGACTGCCAGGGGAGTCCCTGAATATCGTTTTTAAATCCATCATCCTGCTTTTAACTCCGTAGTTCAGTTAAGTACCAGCTTTCATGTTGGAAGTTCACTGGAAGAGCCAATAAATTTTAAGCAAATAATAACATGTAACATGGTCTTGTATATATTAATTTTATGGGAGTGACTTTTAAAAAAATTAATTTCAAATGAATACTATCACATTGATGATTTATTAATTTGCTAAACAAAGAATAATTACTCAAGTTCTATGGTACTTCTGTCGTACCTATCATCTTCTACCAAAGGTCCTTCTTTTGGCCAGTTATTGGATATACTTGCTTTAGAGATTTTATTCTTGATTTCTTTTTAAATCCTTTGGAGGTAGAGTCTTTATTCTTACAGGGACAATTATTATCATTTGGATCAGACTAGTATCATGTTTCAGATATAGCCAGCATGCTTCACTACATATTAAAAATACCTAAAATATTATATTTGCTTTTACTGTAAAATAACTTGCTGCACAGGCTTTCTGTCTGGTGATTTGAATATCAAATGAATGATTCCTTGGTGACTTTTAAATGCTCTTTTAACCTTGAGATTCTATTATTCATCAGCAAATTAAATTCAGCAAGAATGTCTTTAGTACCATCTTAATTGTGTGCATTATGTAAGAGGAAAAGCTATCTTTGCCTTTAAGGAGATAAGAATTCCATTGGTGAGGTAATACCTACATATATATAGTAGGTAACAGTTAAAAATTGTGAATGATTAATTTCAGAATGAACAGCAAAACCATAAATGCCTAGGATGCATGGCAGAAGTAGAATGAGAAAGAGTACATCTTGTCACCTTGTGGGAGGGAATATCAGTAAAAGAGAGCCACTGAAGCAGGACAAAGGAGCACACATTGGCAGGAATGTCAGTAAAGAGACCAATTTGGCGGAAGTAGAAAGCTGTTTGGTCTTATTTTTAAAATGTGTGGCAGACTAGATTGTGAACTATAGCAATTTTATCAACAGTGGCATCTCTTTCAGCAGTTGCCAGCATGGTGGTAATGTTGACTGTCCAGATTTGGAAGTTTTGCATAACTAAGGTGCCACCAGTAATTATGTTTTAATGTTTCAGTAGAGTAAAAAATTTTCATGGAAAAATCCATTCATATCATGAGATACATCTGTTTGAAAAGCAGTTTGAACAGAATAGGCTTTTCAGATCTGCCTTTTTGGAGCTAGGTGTTAGAGAAATTCTTTTGAGTTCCGTAGCTCTCCTCTGAGTCTAGTAGATTCTGGTCTTTTGTTCATGTTTAGCTTGTAAGGATCAAGGTCACACTGAAGTTAAGACTCTCTTGCTGCATTGATGTTGAAATCTGGACATGTTCCATGCTGTCTTTTAATTTTTATTCTGGTGTTCGAACAGTAATTCAAAGCACATTAGTTAGTTTTTGTTTAATATTGTTCAATTAAAATCAAATCCTTCGACATGTATACACCAGAATAAAAAAGTTTAAATAAATTTCCTACAAAGTGAAAAAGAAGACTGTAATTTCTTTCCATTGCTATAACCTAAACAAGTTATAGAATATTTCTGTAACTTAGTTTATTAGTGAATATGAAATACGGATAGTCATCTATCTATATGTGAAAATCCCAAATATTGAATTTCAGTGTGTTATAGTTTTCAGTTGTTAAAATTATAGAACAGTACTTTAATATTGCATCATTTTGTTTGAAAGAGTATCAGATACAAGCTGAAAAGCTTTATCTGACTAAGACAGATAAAATCTTTGCTATGTATATTCTCTTTTTGCACTGGCTTATTTTTGAGGCAAAAATCAGACTCCTGACTGCACTTCCAAGAGCAGTGAAGGAGACATAAATACAACTTTACTTAGGGACAAAGTTAATGTGAGTGTGGAAAATGTATACCATACCATACAACAGTTTTGAAATCTATCAGGTAAAATTTTAAATGTTGTTAGTACTTGATAATCTTCAATAATTTATTCAGTTATTTATAATATTTGATGCCTGGAAAACCTTAGAAATGAACTTTACAGGTATTTTTCTGATTTACAGGTATTTTTATACCTGTAAAAATACTTACAGGTATTTTTCTGATATTTTACTTACTTTCTGATCACTGCAGGACCATTCTGATAGCTTTATGCAACATTTTTCTTAGGTCTTCTGAAGGCCATAGTAAGTATGTAGTAAATGCATGTAAGATGATTGGATCATTTTTAATGGAGAAAAAAATGAAGCAAAGGAAATTAAATTTAGTCTTAATATTGGACGATATAAAACTTTCCCCCTTTTATCTCATTAGCATGTATTTTATCCATCTCAACAAGGTAGAATTTGACCTGCAAAACGTACATTGTAATAAATGCTTTGTTGGAAATTTTTTTTTAATTTTCAGAGTTGTCAGTGCTGTAAAAATAGCACGTGTACTTCTGTGGTTGTTTTAGTGTCACTTTTTTGGTTCATTTTTGGCAGATAAAATAACACAGGAAGATATTGAAGGCATTCTACAGAAATTTACTGGGAATATAATGCAAGTACCTCCTCTGTAAGTTCAATTAATGAATTTGAATAAATGTTTAATTTTATTTTCCAGTGGCTAACATCACTTTAATGAAAAAAGAAAAGAGGAGGGGCTTCCTTTTACTATATGGTGAGGCAGGTTTGATCAAGTAAGGTGAACCTGATTCAGACAGGATGCAGAGCTTCTGACACTCTCTAAGAGGTAGTGGGATGTAGTCTCCTCTGTCTCTGGATATTGCCACAGCCTGACATCTGTGCTCTTCCAGGATTTATTGGTTCTTCTGATTCCATCTGTAGACATCAGGGCAGTTCTGGAGAGTAGAGATGTCACTTTTCCCAGAATTGCTGTGAAGGGACCAGTCCAGTCTGGTACAGGCATCAGAGCTGTGATTCACAGTCCAGTTGGCACTTCCTGTCAGGTGTTGGGCCCATTCCTTTTGGACCCAGAATCTTATACTTCACAATTCTCGGCAATAAATGAAACAGATGAGAATTATAACTTATTAAAAGTATAATGATATTGATTTACCATTTCGCCATATTTTTGTGTATGTTACCATTTCAAGCAAATTGCTTCTTTTTTTTTTAATGGCTTATAGGATGTGTCAGGATATGTTACTAACAGTTCTTTTAGAATTTAGAATATATTTTGTGTTTTAAAAACATCTTAAGTTTTTTCAAGAACACTGAAATATCTATGGAGAAATGTTTCTTCATAATTTTGCCTCAAATGTGAAGACTTAAAAATTGTAGCAGGATCTGAATAAACATTATTTTGGATCATTATTGTTAAGATATAGTAAACATTTATAAGAATCGTTTTAGAATTTTCTTCTCTGTGACTGTTCCAAGGATTTTGTGGTCTAGTAAAATTTAATCACACAAAGATAAGATCTGTTATTTGTTTATTTGCTCTTTGGAAACATTTTGGTAACTTATATTTGAAAATGCATATTATTATAATGGAAATATATTGTTTCAAGGAAATATAGCTGAGATCATTGTGACTGGAGACCCTTAACCCAGAATGAGGACTAGTGAAGACATGAATAGACCATCTCCAGGAAGATGGTTAAAGAGAAATATTGACAACATTGCTCACTGAGTGCCAGAATGAGCTGTATTAGCCTCAAAGATATTTAGGAACTCTATATGTGACACCATTGTGAAGTAGATTAGAAGAAAAAATTAGTTCATTCTTAGAAGGATTTTCAGTTTAAAGAGCTGCTAATCATCCTTTCTTTCCATGCTGTAATCTGGAATTATTCTCTCTTTCTTTCTCAATCTCCCTCTATTCTTCCTCCCTCCTTCTCTTCCTGTCTCCCTCTTGTACCTTGCAAGCTATTCTGCATTAAAGAAAGATGGACAGAGACTTTCAACTTTGATGAAGAGAGGTGAAGTAGTAGAAGCAAAACCTGCCAGGCCAGTTACCGTGTACAGTCTTTCCCTTCAAAAATTCCAGCCACCATTTTTCACATTAGGTAAGATGGAGAAATTTGAGAACATTTGTATTTACATGTGCCTTTATTTTATATTTGGCTACTTTTGTGTAATGTTAATGGATCCCTAGGATATTGGAGATTTTTAAAAATTTGAGTTTAAAGAAGGTTAGAATTTGTTAATACCTTTTTGACAGCACAAATAATGAGAATACCTATAGCTATATGGAGGTTCAGAAATGTCCTAAATAGTGTGAGTTTTTCATATATTATATTATCTTACTATAAAGTTGGAAGTAACATACTTTGGATCTCTATGGGGAAGAATAGGTAAGGAGTACCTGTTTTCAAAATTTTGTATTTTATTATCTTATGGATACTTGTTCCCCATTTTGGCTAGTACCTGATAGTTTACACTCAGTTTTTTATTGACATTAATTTGTCCTTTTAAAATGATGCATTTTCAGTTTTTGGACAAGAAATTCTAAGAGTGGAGTGACACCCCCCCTTCTTTGTCACCAATAAATCACTGCTAAAGATCATGAAAATATAGGAGTAATGGGTAAGGCAGAAGTGTATTCCTAGACGTGTGGTAAATTTTAACTCAAGTTATCGATTTGAATTTATCTATAATCCATATTTGAAATAAATTTAAAACCGAAAAAGTTTTTTTCTATTGTTTGGAAATTTTATGATCTCCTAGCTAAAGCCCTGAACGTATAAGAGCTGTGGAGAATCAAAAGCTGTATTTCTTATTAATCCTCAGGCTCCCTGAAATGGACCCTGCTCCCAATTTCATGGTGCATACTGAATGGGATTCCTTGTAGACATAATTTCCCAAAACCTTTTTTCCTGAACTTCATTGCTTTTTTTCCCATTGACATTATTATTTAGTGTGTATTAAGTTCCTGTAGATTGTGGGTTTTGTACAATTTTCTTAAAAAGTCACTCCTTAAGTTTCCTGATTCTAAAATATTAGGCAAACAATGAAACAAACATACTAAAAAATGTTTCACTCCATTCCATGAAAATGCGGCCTCTGTGTTGGCACAATAGATATTATCTATGAAAGTAAAAAAAACCTCAAATTATTCCAGTTGCATTTGTTCACTGGAATTTGTAGTAGTCCAAATTTGACTCTTTTCACCAAAGTCAAATATAGTGCAAGGATGTAGAAATTCCCTCAAATAGCTTTATTTGTATGCTAAGCTAGAAACAGAAAGTAGTCCGTTTGTGTGAAAATACGGTTCTTTTCAGGATGTCTTCTGGATGAATAAAAATAATCCAGAGCCCTGCTCTTAACCAATAAACTTGTATTATACTGCGTTAAGAAGATGTTTAGTTATGCATTCAGTTCTGGTACATTGTGTAATTTTAAGTTATTTCATGATTTTTTCAGGAATATTTCCAAGAGAACATTTAAATATGCGGAGTTCTCCATGTAGTATATCACCCCAAACATAATTCCTGTCACTGAAAAGGGTTTTTTTGTTTGTTGTGTTTTTTTGAGTGTACAAATCTGAAAATATTTTAAAAATCTACAGCTCATGATAGCAAGGCTGAGATGTCTAACCATTTAAAGCCTATTAAATGAAAAAGATGTACAAATCTGAAAATAGTTTTTTAAATCTGCAGCTCATAATAGCAAAGCTGAGATTTCTAACTATTTAAAATCTATTAAATGAACAAGGCTGAAGTATTAAAGTGGTATGACTTGCCATGTGATTTAAAATGTGTTCAAGAGTTTCTGCTGTTTGCTTTCTCCACACTCTGACTTTGCAGTCTCACAAACACATATGCTACTGGATGAATAATTTATATTTTAGCGCATAAATGTTTTATCACTCGATTGTTTGCATAGTGCATTTTTACATTTGTTAGGGGCATCATTTCTATGTAAAGTGGATTTCATAGGCGGTTAGCAATTTACCATGTCACTGTTAACATTCCAGATGTTGAATGTGGAGGAGGTTTTTATATCAGAAGCTTGGTCAGTGACATTGGCAAAGGTAAGCATAAAGATGAATTTTGAATTATCATTTAGAGAATAATATTCCTTTTTGATGGGAGGAAGGAATTTTCCGTTTTCCATGTCTCTGAGTACTGGCCTTAGGAACTGGATTCTTGCTGCCCTTCCACCTTCGAAGCGTTATAGGTTTATGGAAGACAGTTATCAGCGTAAGCAGCTGCAGTGAAATGCTTGTAATGGGAGAGAGGAGAAAAAGAGGAATAGAAAATGAAGATGTGAATAATGAATCTCAGGACCAACATTTTTTTCAAGTATAAAATATTTTAACTCAAAGTAAGGATAAGAAGAAAAGATTAAGCCTTCTAAAAGTTATTTTTATCGCTACAAGTCAAATTTTTTTTGAAAACTGGAAGCCATAGTCTTAGAAACAGCCAGGAAGTTGCAGTTCTGGCCCTGCCATTTTCTGGCAGTCGTGACACTGGACAGGTCACATTACCTCATCCGCAAAGTGAGACGAATAGTAACCTCATGGGGTTGTTTCATGGGTTAAATAAGAAGAGTGTGCAACTTCCTTGTAGACTTTAAAGCAGTTTATTAGGTCAGTTATTAAATGTTATTTTGCTCCTTAATCATTTCTTAATCTCAAGGCTCTTGGCTATTATAATGGATAATTACAGTTTTACGTTTGAGGTGGTTTTGAGAGGTCTGAATCGAGTTCTGTCATTTGCAAAATTATAGCCGATGAAATACTGAATTACTGGATCATTTATGTTGCTTCAGTATTTGAATGAAATGCTGAATCATTTATCTTTTGTTTTCCTTTCACCTTTTGTTGCCATAGAACTGTCTTCCTGTGCCAATGTGCTAGAGCTGACCCGCACCAAACAGGGACCCTTTACACTGGAGGAGCACGCCCTTCCCGAAGACAAATGGACAATTGACGACATTGCACAGTCTCTTGAGCAGTGCTCATCCCTTCTCCCAGCAGAGACGGCACTTAAAAAATCAAAACCTGAGGAGTCTAATGAGCCAGTTTTGAGCTGTGAGTACATAACTCTAAATGAGATAAAGGGAGAAGATGATGTGATTAAGACATTTTAAGTTTGGCTTGGGGTTGTCTTCATTTCCTGGTTGACATTTGCATCCTGTGTGCAGAATGACAAGCTGTGTGTGTGCCAAGACAAACGATTCTTTTTTTTTTTTGCATGAGGAAAAATGTCCATCATTTATGGTTTCTACGGTGCACAATTTATCTGCTGTACATTATAAATAGCCCTGCAGTTGTTCAGTTCTTGCTGTACTATAGAATGTTCTTCTAGGATGTTATTATGTTGTTAGATTGGATTCAGGAAAATCAACTTTCTGATTTTGATCTCTCATCAAAGTCTTTTCCTGTGAAAAAGTTGACCACATTTTCTAATCAGAGGAAAAAAAAATATGAGCTAAATGTTTCTTTGGTGTGACAAAGTGAATGTATATTAGTTTCTTTGACTTTATTTTGGCTTCCTCGTGACTCTGGTTATTGAAATTCCTTAACTATGTTTGAAAAAGCCATTATTTAACTCATGTTTTGGAGAGTTTATGATTATTAAGAACATTTCTTTGATAAGGCTGCACTTATCTTGGTAATAGCTGTGTTTGTTTAGATCTTGGAAGCTAATAAACTTCTATCATAAATATTTGTAGAAGAACCAAATTATTGCTGCTACCACTAATGGAATGTAAATAGAAGACTAAATGTTTAATTAAATTCACCTCTACTCTCCCATTAGCACAGAACAGCTCCTATGGCTTATGTTTTGGCAGCTATGAGATAGTTTCCTGGTAATTTAATCAGTACAGTCGACCACCCTGTACCAGTTTACTAAATAACCTAATTAAAAAAAATTAAGCTAAAGAATGCCTTCAATGAAAAACTTCTTTTCTTTATTCTTTAGTACTTGTTCATACATCTTTATAGGGTATTAATTCCCATGATACTTTGCTTTCAATTTGCTCTTTCAAGTGATGTTTATAGATGCTGAGATTGCTGCCCTGCATTTCCAGTTAATCCCTTCTGCTCTAAATGTTTAAAAACAGTTATTCTCAAACGTTTTCATTCAGGTAGCCTACTGAAAGTTCCCTGTCCCTCTCTGCCATAGTTTTGAAAACAGTCACATTCTGAAATAGTAAATTTCATATGTAATGAGTACGTCATATTTTTGTTATAGGAAAGCAATATATAATGCAGCATCTGTAGAAATTTTCAAATCCCCCTGCGTTTATCCAAATAAATAGTTTCAAAAGGAAGACTTGTTAAATTTTTCATCATATAAGAGTTTTTACATTTTTATGGATTGTCTTTCTTTTAAAGGTGGTTGCTTTGCAACCTCTAACTTATAAATTTTAAATATGTAAACAAACGTGATCTTATTTGTGGTTAACCTAATATAAACTCAATATAAAAAGTTATATGCTTCAATAGAACACTTTCAGCGTATTGGCAACATTTTTCAAGTGGAAATGGAAATATTAAAACATTCTTACTATGACACAGAAAATTATAAGAAAGATTTAATTATCATAATGCCTTAAATAAAACACCAAACACACAAAGTTGTAAATTGAAGCTTTTACAGTTTTACATATTCATATCTAGTGTCCTGCAGTTTGTGTAACCAAAGGTGGCAGTGGCTGCCTCTTTCTGTTGGAGTGGTACAGGTTACAGTATGTCTTCATACACTGCCAGCTAAGGTCCAAATAGAGGAATATAAAACAACTAGGGCCTCTCTGCTCTATTTCTCAACTTAAAATTTAAAATGTATAATTTACTAATGGAGAAGAGTATAAATTTTTTGAAAAGACAAGTGACTTTTTAAAATGGTAACCAATCTTTTTCTTTTATCGAAAACATTGAAGAAAATGTTGCCAAATGGAAAAATTACCAAATCCTCACCATCCTGATACAGTGACTTCAGAACTTTAATTTCGTATTATTCTTTTTTTTTTTTGGTTCGTATTATTCTTTTCCCTTCTTTTGTTCACATAATTACAGTCTGAAGACACCTATACTTTTTATTGACTATTTTTTAAATTTCATATTCTTTTACTATTTGTATTTAGTTTTGATAATGATTATCTTAATCATATTACTTCAGTTTGTTTAAACCATTTCTCTATTGCTGAATACTTAGGTTATTTTCAATTTTATTAGGGTAAGTTCCTGGGAGTGGGATTATTAGATGGAATAATATGAACAATTTAATTTTCCTTAATGAGTTTGCCTTATTGCTTTCCCAAAGAGTTGTAACATTTTACAGTGTCATCATTTGAGTATGTCAGTTCACTAAAAGTCGACAGCTTTGGGTGGGGGATTTATATGTCGTTGCTCATTTAGTAACTTATACGGGTTCAGAGTTGCTCTGATTTGCCTTTGTGTGACTTTTTCACATACTTTGTTCACTTATGTAAATAAATGTCTTAATGGTTTCTTTATACATTTGTGTGAGTTATTTGTGCAGTAAATACTTGTAGAAGCATTTTCATGGCCTGTTCTTTCTTATTTTAGTTTCATTTTCCATTTTTACTAACCACATTTGCTAATATTAAGAATTCTTCCCCTTTTAGAGTCACCAGATTTATGAGTATGAATAGTTAATATTTATTGGAAACTAAAGATATTATTCTTAACTTTCATAAGCAGCTGTAACTGATCAAGATTCTCTAAAAAGTTTGACTCATCCATAAACAAATTAGTTTTCTTTTGAGTCTAGTATTTGAATACCAACTGCTTTGTTTTTTTCATTTTAATCAAAATATTAAAGAAATATCTGTGCCTTATATATTTCTAGGCCTAATTCTTTATGTAATAATAAAGTTGTTTTACTTGTAAGAAAACGTGTTAGAAATTTCTGGAAATGTTTCAACCTGGAACATACAAATGCCTTCATTTTGACACTTAGTTTTTTATATTTCTGGAAAATGTTGTCTTAAAAGTCATCAAAAGTGGTCATAGAATTATTTTATTTACAGTTTTAAGATCCATGAGCATTAAAATAATATAATTTTTTTCTTTGATAATTCAAAATTATAAAATTTGAATAAGGGTTAAACTCACATTTTCCTATACTGACTAGGTCTTTTCTTCTTAAATACTTGAATTAATACAAGCTACTGATCCATCATCAGAAATGATTCATTGTACTACATAAGAAAAGAATGCTTCAGTACGTTAAAAGGTCTTCGGTACATTTTATGCCTCTCTGATCAGTTAGAAATTTGTATCAGACTTACAATGAACATTTAGAGGTTTAATTAGTTCTATTTCAAAAGAAGAAAGTAATTTACCTCATATCATGATGTATATAATAGAAAAATTATAAATCAAAAAGCACTCTAAAATATTGAAACATTTAAATAGAGGAATATGATAAATATAAGCTTTATGGCTTGAAATGATTGTAATGGTCTTGTAATTAAATTGAAATAGAAGACTTGTCTTGAAACTGTTTCTTTAAGGTATGTGTGGGCAGCTGTAGCCTGGCCTAATCATTTATTAAATGTCACTTGTTAAACACTTATTACATGGCACTTGAATCAGTAGTGCCTTCATAGTTTCAACTTGAGTTAAAATTCTCTCTTTGAACAGGAATATTGCTGTTCATATTGCTGTTCATGTTCATCTTGCTGTGTTACATAATCATACCAGTAGGAAAGTTGAAGTCAGAAACTATATTTTGCTCCTCTTATTTGTAACTCTTACAATATAACATATTAAGATGATTTCCGTCTCCGCTGACAGTCAGTTTTTGGATCCAGGCAAATCACTTAATCTTTTTAGACCTCAGCTTTCTTATATTTAAAACAAAGGAGACAGACTAGTCTATCTCTAAGAACTTTTGCAGAACTAAAATAGGCTGGTGAGTGTAGGTGATTTGTATTTGTTCTGTTCAGAGCTTGTTCTTTTTAAGCCTGAATTTTCACGTTCATCAGTTTTGGAAAATTCTCATCCCTTATCTCTTTGAATATCACATCTTTTCCATCTAGTACTTCTGTTAGATTTATGTCTTCTCATTTTATTGTGTCTAATTACTCTTTCATATTTTCCAGTGCTTTATCTCAGTGCTTCTTCTTGGGGAATTTCCTTGAACCTTTTTCCCAGATATGAATTCATTCTTCTGCTATTTTAATTTACTGTTTATGCATGTATTTGTTTCAGCGATTACTGTGGTTTTTTTTGTTTTTTTTTTTTGCGGCACATGGGCCTCTCACTGTTGTGGCCTCTCCCGCGCAGAGCACAGGCTCCAGACACGCAGGCCCAGCGGCCATGGCTCACAGGCCCAGCCGCTCCGCGGCACGTGGGATCCTCCCGGACCGGGGCACGAACCCGCGTCCCCTGCATCGGCAGGCGGATTCCCAATCTGCGCCACCAGGGAAGCCCTACTGTGGTTTCTTAAAAGTTTATAGAACATCAACTTTTTTTTTTCAAAATCCTTCTTTTTGTGTGTGTTGTCTTTCATCAGGGCTTTAGTTTAAATATATATCGTATATATATATAAGTATCAGTAAAAGTTTTATATGTGTGTGTATATAATTTTTACTGATATTTAATATCTATACAGAAACTTGCACATATCATAAATGTATCATCTGAATTTTTACAAAGCAAACATGTGTAACCAACAACCAAATAAAAAAAAAAACAACAGATCATTACTAGTCCACTAGAGGCCCTCTAGAGGTTCCCCTCCAGTCACTAGCTCCCAGCCCCACCCCACTGCCAAGGGTAACCATATCTAACATTATAGATTGTTAATTTTGTCTGCTTTTGTGCTTTATATAAATAAAGCATACAGTATATACTCTTTCATGTTCGGCTTCTTTTGCTCAAAATTATGTTAGTGAGGTTCTTCCATGTTGTTGCACACGTTCATAGGCCATTCATTCTCATTATTGTTTAGTATTCCATTGTGTGAATATACCTATATTTGTCCAAAATTATGTTAGTGAGGTTCTTCCATGTTGTTGCACACGTTCATAGGTCATTCATTCTCATTATTGTTT